TTACAGTTACAAGCTACATGTTCAAAAAGTAACTGATTACAGTTACAAGTTACATGCTTCTTGTAACTGATTACAGTGTCAAGTTACATGCTCTATTTTCAAGGGATGTGATCTCTGAAATCGGAAATAAAATTCAATTTTTTTTTACCAAACCGATATGCTCAGAAAGTTTATAACGTATTTGGTTTTGCCTATATTACAGACGATTGAAAAAAATTAAACTAAAATAAAATAATATCTATTAATACAATACAATATCTGAATTATCTGGGCGATCTTGAGTCTGCTAATATACATTTTTACTGTTGAACCAAAATGGAATAAACAATTCAAGCATAATTGTTTAAAATTATTGATAGAATTCATGATCTATAGCAATCAGATTTTTAAAGCGTTTTTAGGTAACCCTCAACAAATAACTACTAACTAAAAATACAACAGTCATTTTGGTACATAAGACCTTCCACACTTTGAATATAAATACTGTAAGAGGAAAAACAAGAATTTAAAAAAGCGTTGGTCCAAGACCACTGGAGATTCAATGTAGTTTTGGCTTTTGACAGGCTGGATAGGGATGAAGAGAAGGTAATTCAAGTAGCCTAGTTTAGTTCATTGATGGTAGTGTCTCGCAGAAACTGCTTTGTGCTTAGATAATAGAATATAATGTGCTTGTAACTATTTTATCTTTAATCATAAATCAATAAATGAGGATTTATTTTGTTTATTCTTAGTTCCTTAATTTGTAAAAATATTTTTGTACAGTTATATCATAAGACATCTTTAAGACAGGCTTCATTTTTATCTATAATGAAATTAAAAAAATATATATATTTAAAAATTTAGTTTTCATTATTTTGAAAACCTCTTTAAAACAGTACAATTAATACTGTATAGAGTCTGTGTGGTTTAAACATATTTATATATAAAAAAAACAATGTTTAGTACAGCAATCTTGTTATAAATTTTAGAATTTCGGTAAACAAAAAATTCAGCCGTAGGGTCTTGGCCTAGGCCTACCTAATTGCTGTGATTCAAGTCAGAGCTACATTAAAACTTGTATTCACCAAGAATATATATACAAAATTATTGCATAATACAAATCAAAAGTAGGCTTAACTAAACGTTTCAGCAAAATATACCCACATTCTAGGATTGACTGGAACGTTATTTGTATTTGTATATGTTTCTTATCCTTGATAAAAGTATTTTCTCCATGCTGCGAAGTTTGTCACAAAATTGTGTCATAAGGTTATAAAAACTAGCCATGCGCCGTGCTTTATTGATGTGTACTTTGACTTTAAAAGGCAGTATAATTCACTACTCTATTTTTTAAGTTCACCCATAATCCTAGGATTTTTTTATGTTCATCAAAATTCACGCATAATTGAATGTTTTTGAACTACAGTATAACTAATAAAACTTCGTGACAACTGAACAGATAAACATATAAAATAGACCTTAGGCCTATATAAACCAAAACAGACTGGAAGCACAGTCACGGACCACAGTGTCAGGAATGTCACTCACTATTCATGTTGTAGCCGGGGGCCGCTGGTTGGGGTGTTGATGGGGGTTAATGGTATGGTATGGAGGAGGGAATTCGGGTAATCAGGAGGGAATAAACAGGGTAATGCAATAGGTTAGGAGTAGGTGTGTCTGGACCAAACTTAATATAAGCGTGCTGAATCTGCTACCAATAAAATTAGGAAGATTGCTGGGGACCAGAGGGACGGAGACCTTTTACCCAGATCAGAACACTTGCCTAGCCAGCTTTGATTTGCACTAATTGAACTAACTATTTAAATATTGACCTATCCTTCCAACTATGAACTGAACTTGGATAATTTCTTACTAATATTGATGAGTGAGGGAAATAATATGTAAATTGAATACTGAATGGCTAATATGTATGAATTTGATTGATAATTGCTAAGCTACATTCTGGGAACATGTGGTTTAGTTTTTCATGTTTGAAAAGGTTGGTTGCAGAAGGCAACCAACCGAATGAGTTGTGATTTCCTACATTTCAATGGTCGGGTGAGCCAGAAGGGCTCCCCGCTTGTTACCTGACTTAGCCAACCATAATTGGTACTTATATCTATCTACATAACTATACTAATTGTAACTTATCAGTTTCGAGTCACGGTCCTGGAAATTGGTTCATGTGTCGGTTTTTTGATGCCGAAGTTGAAGAGGGAGATCAGCCAAGAAGGGGGACAAGAGTAGGAAGGTGGGATAGAGCGTTGATGCAGTCGCGGCAGGCAACGAGATAGTCATGCAGCCCGGCTTCGCGAAATGCACACACTATGTAAAAACCCATATTGATTTTGAGAGAAAAGAGATCTACTAGAAAAATATTCCATGAGCCTCTTTTTAACCAAAGTCTCAAAAACTTTAGCTACAGTACTTATAACGGAGATAGGCCTGTATGATGAAATTTTAGATAAACTTCCAGACTTATGAATCGGTACTACCGATGCTATCTTAAACCTGTCTGGGTAGACACCTTGATCCAAGGAAATTCTAATTATTTTACATAACAATGGGGTGAATACATCTAAGTTATCCTTAATTATAAAAATATTAATACCATCTATCCCAGCACTAGCCTTATTTTTTAAAGATTTAACTATATCTACAATGTCTGACTCGATAAATACAAAATCTCTAATAAAAATATCATAAGTACACAAACACAAACATATCACAGCCAAAGTTCTCATGTTTTAATTCAGGTACAATTTGTGTAAAATAATCATTAAATTTATTTGCAATAACTTTCTCACTGCCACTACATTCAATAAGGACATCATCTATCTCAAAACTAGATAAATTACTTTTATTACTTCTAATTATTTTTTTTTATAACACTCAAATAAACCTTTGAATCCCCAATTAGACCTCTCAATCAGACTAGAGTAGTAATTTTTCTTAGCTAACCTAATTTTTCTTGTCACCAGCCTGGAAATGTTTTTATATTGCATTTTCAACTGAACATTGTTTTTATCTTTTGAAACCATACTATGAAGTTTGTATTAATTAATTCAGACAAAAACAAACTAATTCCGTAATGATCTGTTATACCTATTTTATCAACAATATGAACAAAAGCAATTCTTTTTGTATTTCTTTTTAACAAATGGTCGATACAAGATACACTATTATTTATCTCCCTAGTAGGCTGATTAATTAAATTAGTAAAACCATATGCAGAAATTAAGTTAAGGTAATCAGATTTAGATCCAGAATCATAAATCTATGTTAAAATCTCCAACAAAAATTGTAGGGTCATTTGATTCTAATAACAAATTTTCAAAATCAGATTTGAAATTATTATAACTGTGTTTACATTGACCCTTGTCTCTGTACGATGTACTGAATTTACATTTTGTTATTTGGGTGATGACTGATGCAAAAATAACGACATAAGCACTGATGCACATTTTTTTATCAATAGTTATCAGTATGGGGGAGGAATGAATATGTATTTAGTTTGAAGCAAGTTTAAAATTTGGGAGTGATTAAATAAATAAGGTAAACATTTACTTTTTTTCTAACATTTCTTGACTTTAAATAGTCGATTTTGACTTGCGGTATACCTGGAAAAAGTGTTATATCAGTCTGGAAAAGCCAGGGAATTTTATTTTCCAAATTTAGTACCAACCCTGTCATGGTAAGAACTCGACCAGAAACCAAATTAGTTTTTCCTTTTGATGTCTTCAGTAGAGGCCAAAAAGCACTATCAATTCAAATTAATGTACATAATATTAATTTATATGGGTTTGTGTGTGTGTCTGTTAGCATTAATTCAACTGATTTTGATTAAATTCTATACAAATGTCTAAACCTACATTTACTCAAACAAGTTCGCTAACCAGCATGATCAGACTAAGGGTTCGTATGGGTAAAAATTTGTACTACCCCTTTTTGACTCCCAAAATATAATAGTTCTGCAATTTATTTCTTAACTATTTGGTAGAGCTTAAAAAATATATAATTTAGGAAATAGAATTGTTGTACGTTTAATGGTTGTAGAGAACTTACTGTTGTAGTTTGCTTGTTTATGTATGTATTTTGATCAAGTTTCAAACAAAAATTTATATTTCAATTCACCCCCGCCGCAGCAAACCTGCAGACTTACCGAATTTCCATTTGCCTGTTTTGATTCTCAATTCTCACTTAAATGGATTTATTAAATTACATTAGGTTTTAACGAGTACCTAGGTTTGCTGCTACCAGGGTGTTTAATATATAGCTAATTTGCTGCTATAAAGTGTGTTTTTTAGTATAATATTATTAATAGCTTGATATAAAACATATCCATAAATAACCAAACTACAACAGTTTACTTATTCTGCATAAGAATAACATAGGATTTTTAAATTTAAATTTTTTTTTATTTTCTCTACAACCAATAACAGTACAAAAACACTTCAATATACTAAATTATTTGTTTTTTAAGGTCTTTAGTTTTGACTGTCAAAAATTAGATAAACCAATTTTTACCCCATACAGCACCGTTCCCATGGTCCGATCATGCCGGTTCGCGAACTCTTTCAAGTTTATCCCGCCCTACATCTTAAAGCCAAATATCATCAAAAGCAGGCAAAAATTACTCTTGTTATTGCGTTTACAGACGTAAATATATTTACACGTATAACAATTTTAATGAATAGTGTTTTTTGGCTTCTTAGGGACATTAAAAAGAAAAAGTATATCGGTCCCGTGTCCAGGTCCCACCTACGGTAATAGCTACTTCCCTATTTGCTAAATTTGCTAAAAAACACTACTACCTCCCAGCTAACTTCTAGTACTAGATAAAATTCATGTTATTTAAATGTAAAACTATCTTGTCAATTTTAAAGGAATATTTTACTGAAAATCCAACCAGATAAATGGAAATTTGCTTAGTCTGCAGGTTAGCTTTGGCAGGGGTATTTTCGGTTAACCGACATTTTGGAATTCTACAAGGTCATTGAAAAGGGTAAAAATAATTAATGTTTCTTGGTAAAAAACTTGTATTAAGTAACTTTTTATAAGCATAAGTTAGCATTAATAGTTTACATCACTTGTCGTGTGTTGTATATATATAGCATAAATACATTTGAAGTGTGATGAGTTTAGGGGCACTCCACTATAAAACCTTACAAATATATACTCCTGGCTTTCACAACAAAATACTCATCGCAAACAGGTCCTTGCCAATGATGAGACATCAGTAGTCACTTCAGTCAAATATGCCTGCTTAATTTAACCTTTGTATTTATTCTTCTCATCATCATCTAAAGTTTTAAGAGCCAATATATCAATCTCAGTCTTGGTCTCATCACCACAAGTACTCACACTATTGGAATATTCTTGAGATTTTCGTAAGCTCCAGCTGGGACATAAATGTAGTTTCAACTTTTGTAAAACATCACTTTTGCAAACAAAGAAGAAGAAGATCGCCAGTCCCTGAAATAAATGTGTCAATATAAATATCTGCTGTATGAACATGTTATTTCTTATATGGTCTGGGCTGTATTTTGTTCCTGTGTGGTGAAGTTTTCTTCTATAAAAATTATGCAACTCAATTTAAACCTTTCCTAGTGTAAAATTAAGTGTTCATAAATTCTACTAGATAATCCTTATTAAAAATGCTTTATTTATAAAGGCTATAATTTTGCCAAAAGTGATTATCATCAGGGACACGTTTGTTGTGGCTGGAGGGAGGCTAGTCGCTTCTAGTAGGAAAATTCTCTGGCTGTTCATATTAGGGAGAAGGGCTGTGCAAATAAATTCTGTTTACCTCTGTGTGCCTCTGTTTACAGTTAGGCTTCAATTTTCTTTGCAAATTGATATAAAATAATAAAAATAGTTGCAGGCTCATTATTCTCTAGTGTTCTCTTTATTAGTAATTCACAAATATATATTTTATTTACATTAACATTTAAGCTGTTTCACACTCACAACCAACATAACTATGTAAAATGCTACTGAGCAATAATTGAACTTGTATGTGGTGTATGTCATTAAGAGGAAGACCTTGAAAAAAATAAAATTTCAAGGCTTCCCTTTCGAGTGGGCATCAAGGGAATTTCAGGTGGGCAGAACAAAGGCAAAAAGGAACGTAATGATGCAAATGTGCTTGCGAGATTTGTAGACCATATGCTGTATCATCAGCAACAAAGTTTCAATACAAAGTCCAAAGTGTGAAATACTTCGGTAAAGTATTTTCTCGAAAAGGTTGTGTGGACTACAAGACCAGGACCATATTAGAGCAAACGTAGGTCTGGAAAGCCCTAAAAGAATTGCAACGGTTGCTGGGAATGTTTAATTTCATCAGAAGTTTTATTCCAAAATGGCAGAAATAACTAGTCCTTTGAGAGAACTGTAACGAAAAGATATAGCGTTTTTGTGGATACCTAACACGAGGAAGCGTTATCTAAACTGAAGGAGCTGATCAGTAATTCACCGGTTCTTGCTTACTTTGATGATAGTAAGCCAATAGTATTACAGTACAGTGTGATGGCTCTAAATACGGAATGGATTTCCCTATTTCAAAATGGTCATCCTGTAATAATATATATGTAGATCAAAAAGCTTTACAAACAGAAAAGGGAATGTTAGGAAGCTGTGAATATGTTGAAAGGTACCATATTGTACCGTATAGAATATTGCAAATAATCATAACGCCAGGCTTCAAAGAATGCAAGTTGGTTAAGTATGTCCTTAAAGTAAAATATGTACCAGGTAAAGAGATGTATGTTGATGATTGTCTTTCAAGATCATTTTAAAAATAAAATAATATGATGATCCTGAACTGTTAAGCCTACGATATATCGCAGCAATCTGATTGCACCAACAAATCGTTGCGATGAATTGGACATTGATGTTCTGTCCATATGCAACAATTTTTTGCCCCAACTTTTACGCAATTTGTTGGTCTTTTCTCAGTTGTGATCAACATGGAAGAGATACTATTGTGGTCCCTGTATGTAATTTGTTTGTCAAAAGTAGCGAGAAAGAGATGACGCAAACCAAGAAGTAAGTGGTGTCGTTCTTGGCTTCTCAGGAGTTCTTGGCTTTCGCATTTCAGAGTACTGAGAAAGTTGAGAGATGAACCCAACGACTGGCGTACAATTTGAAAATGACAGAAAACTGTCATATGTCATAAGGCTCTATACCGGTTGAGGCTACTGACCAAGAGAACTATGAAGAGGGCACAATTGCACTGGGTTTCAAGCAGATGATCACAGCGATAAGTTGAAACGCTCTCTACACGTTCCAACCTGTCGATCCAACCACGAAATCAAATTTTTCATAAACTTTCCAACCCTGATATATTGCAGCAATCTTCCATCCACACGCTCCGATTATCGTAACGATATTGTTGGTAACGTTCAAATCGCTGCGATATATTGTTCATATGTGAGAAGGTGTGTAGACGGGCCATTAGAAGTTGTTCGTTATTTGAGTAAACATAAGCAAGTTTTAGAAACTATAAAATCTGAAATTCCCAGTGTAAAAAAAATGATGAGACTCTCAATTGTGTTGTTAAATATGTTCAAGACAGTTGGCCAGATGATGAGCATACTATTCCAAGCCATGTGACAATTTATCTCCAGTTTAGAGGCTGGTTAACATTTGATGACAGGCTATTGTTTTTAGATCATAAAATTGTTGTCCCTGATTGTTTGAGAAGTAAGATATTAAATCTTCTTCACATATCAGGCTATCATATATGGGTATTGCAAAAATTCAACTTAAAGCCAGAATTACAGTTTATTAGCCAAACATTATCGCAATATTGAGCATATCATTAGTAAATGTACTGTGTGTGAGCATTATATGTCTAACAACATCAAGGAACTTATTCTGCATTCAGTACCTATTTGAGAATCTATTGAGAAAGTTGCAGTAACACTGTTTTGAAACTTAGTTTTGTAGATAGGTGACTTCCCTTATTCTAGGCATACTACTATGTTCTGTGCCGTGATTTCATCGTAGTAAATCCAGTTTTAATGAACGAGACTGTGAGCTATTTTAATACCTAAAGTGAAAATACAACAAAGGTGACAAGATGATACCTACACATATCGTTCCTTAAATTTTAAATGATTTATTTTGGTAAAAACAACTTTAACTCTTTCAGATTTCCCCAACCTCATTTTCCATCAAACTAATAAGCTATGTTTGACTGAGTCACATCATATAATCGTCGAGATTTGTTACATCTTCTGTACTATTACTTACCTGTAAAGTATTGCACAAGTCAGTGACCAGCCAAAATGACTCGGGGCCGCCGATGAGAAAAGATAGAATATCCAAAGTCCAATTAAGACCCATGACGATGAATAGTTTCAGATACAGATAAAACCTGAAACAGTATGTATTTTAAAATTTAAATCACATTGAGTCATTACTGTACCAGTATTCTATAAAGTTTGTTGTGTGACTATAAGTATTTAGAGTCTACCTGGTCTTCAAATTGTCAAAGGTGAGTTGTTTTATATTGGGTAAGAGTCATATAGTCTTGGATTGGATCAAGTATCATTAGTTATTTATAAATATAAAACAATAAGTAGCTGTAAAGTGTGTTATATTTCCAATGATTCTTTTTCTTCAACAATTATTGGAATTATATGCCGAGTGTGTAAGAGGTTTTGATTGTAATTTGTTAACACAATTTACACTAAACTAAATTTTACAATGGTTCCAAACAATAAATACTAACTCACTATTTCAACTAACTACGCTTGGGTTTTTATTTGACTTATGTATTTGTTACTGTGGTAAACAGCTAGGTCTCAGACCCGTTTTTGACCCCGTCAACGCCCTAGGCACATTCAATAGTAGCGCCCCATTGCAATACAGGGTGTCAACCAACCGGGAAAACCAGGGAATCCGTGAATTATGCGTGAGTTTTTTTTACCGAGAATTATGCATGACCTTTGTATTTCTACCTAGAATTTTCAATTTACCACAATCGCGCATGACAACAGTGACGTATCCGTGACAGCAGGAGACGATATTATGTCTACACACCGCCACGAGGGATGGTCAGAATTCTCTGCCATCGCAGAAGACGATGATGATATCTACCTACAGTCAGGAGGGGTGATCAGAATATTGCTGCGATCATGGAAGACTATGGTAATGTCCACTTGACTGCGGGATATTATTAACATTTTGGCGCAATCGCTGGAGACAATTACTATGTTTTCACGTCAGCGGGAATCGATAACGATCTCTAAGGCAGTGATGATCTCCACAAGAGTGCGGGAGGTGATCATCATTTTGCCGCAAGAGCGGGAGGCGATTACTATGTCCACACGAAAACGGGGGACAATATAATGATGTCTACACGGCCGTGGGAGACTGTTACGATCTCTAAGGCGGTGATGGTCTCCACAAGAGTGCGGGAGGCAATTATCATTTTGCCGCAATAGCAGGTGGCGATTACTATGTCCACACAAAAGCGGGGGACAATATAATGATCACTATGCTTAGTGGCACAGGATCACTTATTGAATAAAATTGATTATATTACCTGTCCGTCAGTGATCCTATTGTGGTCTTAGGCGACCGGTTTCGGGATTAAAATCCCATCATCAGGTGGTTAAAAAATGTCATGTCACTCAAGCTGAGGTCGTCGGTGATCACAAAAGCTCACACATAAAATACGAAAACACTGATTGACATTATGTACAACGTTACTGGCCAGTGTAGGACACTACGATGCGGCACGGGTAGATGCGTGGTTGTGAGTGATAAATAGGATAACTGACGGACAGGTGACATAAACCATTTTATATACAGGGTGTCTAGTAGTCGGGAAAATCGGGAATTAGTATTGAATTTCAAAACGGTCTTAAAAAGTCGGGAATTAGTGTTTAAGAAGTGTTTTATTTATTTATCAATTAAAATTTTTAATGTCATTCCTGTTTCTGTAAAGCAGAGTAGGTCATTTAGTGTTTTTAAGAAATCTTTGAAAAAGTGGCTATTAACCAAGTCATATGATGAAATAGAACAGTTGTATTCTTAATAATATTAGTAAGTAATGTCTAGCTCAATGTATTTGCTTTATCTTTGTAAGTATCTGTATTTCAGAGTCTGGGTTTTCATTGTTTCCTTCAATTTCTTAAAATGTTCTCATTATTATAGTTACATACTTTTCGTTTTACTTCCTAGATATTGGTGAATTTTGTTTTCTTTGTTGTCTTTTCTACAAAAGTTATTGGACTAAAGGTAAATTTAATTTATAATTCATTTTGTTACCCTTTTCAGAGAATTTTTTTGTTATTGTTAAGTATTAGTTGAGACTCCCGCCCACACACAGAAGTTTTAATCTTCTTTGGGTGTGTATATTTCTTCGCAAGTTGAAGCAAACTGTTTTTATTTAATTAATTAACAATAAGTTTTTATTACATTGTAAAATAATTTGTTTTTTATAGATCTTTGTAATTTTATTGTATTACTTGTGGAGAAATAAAGATTTATTATTATTATTATTATTATTATTTGATTTCAAAGTCGGGAATTTTCATGATTTTGCCGCGGTCGTCGTCTTGCGTTTACGTAACCGCAAAAGATGATGATGTCTACACGGCCTCGGGAAATTTTCACAATTTTGCCGCGATAGTGGACGATGACGTTTCCGAAACCACGAGAGACGACGATGACGTTTTTGTGACAGCGGGAGACGACGATGATATCTGCTCGGCCGCGGGAAATGTCCATGATTTTGTCGCGATCGCGGACGACGACGATGACGTTTCCGTGACCGCGGGAGACGGCGATGATATCTGCTCGGCCGCGGGAAATGTTCATGATTTTGTCGCGATCGCGGACGACGACGATGAGGTTTCCGTGACCGCGGGAGATGACGATGATATCTGCTCGGTTGCGGAATCATCGGTCGCGAGACATAATATAATGATGTCTCCACGGCTGCGAGTGGTGATTAGAATTTTGCCTCATTCGCGGTAGACAATGATAATCTCTTCACGACCGCTGAATATGTTCACACAGTATATTGCCGGGAAGACAATAATCATGTCTACAAGACCGCAGAAAGTTGTCAAAATTTTGCTGCAATTGCGGGAGACAATTACGATGTCTACACGGTCGCGTGGGATTATCAGAAGTTTACCTCAATCAGGTGTAAATAGTACTACCAATTTTTTTCCAAATTTTTAGCACCCACCAAAAAAGCCAATTACCTCACCCCCCCCCCCCCCCCTTGTGCACATGCCTACCGTGCCTATTCGCATTGTTTCTCTAGCAAAGGGGATAGTGTTAGTGTGGTTAACAGCTACATCTGATGTATGGAATTTTTTTCTTTAGCCAGGAGACGTGTGGTGTCGGTGTGGTAAACAGCTAGGTTTGATGCAAGGCATTGTCTCTAGCAATGTAGACGTGTAGTGTTAGTGTGCTAAGCAGCTATGTCTGATGTATGGCATTTTTTCTTTAGCCAGGAGACAAGTGGTGTTGGTGTGGTAAACAGCTAGGTCTGATGTAAGGCATTGTTTCTCTATCCAGGAGACGTTTAGTGTTGGTGTGGTAAACAGCTAGGTCTGATGTAAGGCTTTGTTTCTCTATCCAGGAGACGTTTAGTGTTGGTGTGGTAAACAGCTAGGTCTGATGTATGGTGTTGTTTCACTAGCCAAGGAGACGTGTAGTGTTGGTGTGGTAAAAAGCTATGTCTGATGTATGGCATTGTTTCGTTATCCAGGAAACGTGTAGTGTTGGTGTGGTAAACAGCTAGGTCTGATGTAAGGCATTGTTTCTCTATCCAGGAGACGTTTAGTGTTGGTGTGGTAAACAGCTAGGTCTGATGTAAGGCATTGTTTCTCTATCCAGGAGACGTTTAGTGTTGGTGTGGTAAACAGCTATGTCTGATGTAAGGCATTGTTTCTCTATCCAGGAGACGTTTAGTGTTGGTGTGGTAAACAGCTAGGTCTGATGTAAGGCATTGTTTCTCTATCCAGGAGACGTTTAGTGTTGGTGTGGTAAACAGCTAGGTCTGATGTAAGGCATTGTTTCTCTATCCAGGAGACGTTTAGTGTTGGTGTGGTAAACAGCTAGGTCTGATGTAAGGCATTGTTTCTCTATCCAGGAGACGTTTAGTGTTGGTGTGGTAAACAGCTATGTCTGATGTAAGGCATTGTTTCTCTATCCAGGAGACGTGTAGTGTTGGTGTGGTAAACAGCTAGGTCTGATGTAAGGCATTGTTTCTCTATCCAGGAGACGTTTAGTGTTGGTGTGGTAAACAGCTATGTCTGATGTAAGGCATTGTTTCTCTATCCAGGAGACGTTTAGTGTTGGTGTGGTAAACAGCTAGGTCTGATGTAAGGCATTGTTTCTCTATCCAGGAGACGTTTAGTGTTGGTGTGGTAAACAGCTAGGTCTGATGTAAGGCATTGTTTCTCTATCCAGGAGACGTTTAGTGTTGGTGTGGTAAACAGCTATGTCTGATGTAAGGCATTGTTTCTCTATCCAGGAGACGTGTAGTGTTGGTGTGGTAAACAGCTATGTCTGATGTATGGCATTGTTTCGTTATCCAGGAAACGTGTAGTGTTGGTGTGGTAAACAGCTAGGTCTGATGTAAGGCATTGTTTCTCTATCCAGGAGACGTTTAGTGTTGGTGTGGTAAACAGCTAGGTCTGATGTAAGGCATTGTTTCTCTATCCAGGAGACGTTTAGTGTTGGTGTGGTAAACAGCTATGTCTGATGTAAGGCATTGTTTCTCTATCCAGGAGACGTTTAGTGTTGGTGTGGTAAACAGCTATGTCTGATGTAAGGCATTGTTTCTCTATCCAGGAGACGTTTAGTGTTGGTGTGGTAAACAGCTAGGTCTGATGTAAGGCATTGTTTCTCTATCCAGGAGACGTTTAGTGTTGGTGTGGTAAACAGCTATGTCTGATGTAAGGCATTGTTTCTCTATCCAGGAGACGTTTAGTGTTGGTGTGGTAAACAGCTAGGTCTGATGTAAGGCATTGTTTCTCTATCCAGGAGACGTTTAGTGTTGGTGTGGTAAACAGCTATGTCTGATGTAAGGCATTGTTTCTCTATCCAGGAGACGTTTAGTGTTGGTGTGGTAAACAGCTAGGTCTGATGTATGGCATTGTTTCTCTATCCAGGAGACGTGTAGTGTTGGTGTGGTAAACAGCTATGTCTGATGTAAGGCATTGTTTCTCTATCCAGGAGACGTTTAGTGTTGGTGTGGTAAACAGCTATGTCTGATGTATGGCATTGTTTCTCTATCCAGGAGACGTGTAGTGTTGGTGTGGTAAACAGCTATGTCTGATGTAAGGCATTGTTTCTCTATCCAGGAGACGTTTAGTGTTGGTGTGGTAAACAGCTATGTCTGATGTATGGCATTGTTTCTCTATCCAGGAGACGTGTAGTGTTGGTGTGGTAAACAGCTATGTCTGATGTAAGGCATTGTTTCTCTATCCAGGAGACGTTTAGTGTTGGTGTGGTAAACAGCTAGGTCTGATGTATGGTGTTGTTTCACTAGCCAAGGAGACGTGTAGTGTTGGTGTGGTAAACAGCTATGTCTGATGTAAGGCATTGTTTCTCTATCCAGGAGACGTTTAGTGTTGGTGTGGTAAACAGCTAGGTCTGATGTATGGTGTTGTTTCACTAGCCAAGGAGACGTGTAGTGTTGGTGTGGTAAACAGCTATGTCTGATGTATGGCATTGTTTCGTTATCCAGGAAACGTGTAGTGTTGGTGTGGTAAACAGCTAGGTCTGATGTAAGGCATTGTTTCTCTATCCAGGAGACAGCACCATAGACTGAGGGTCCAATTCCCACCTTGATCTGGTCTGGTGTGCAACTCATGGACCCTTAGAGGGATCCTTAGGTCACCTAATCATGGCACTTAAAAACAATGAAAAAAAAACTTACCTGGCAGGATTTTAAAATATTTATGCTCAAGATGAGAAGAAACAGAAACACCCAGTAAAACAGGCATAAATTTATTAAATGAATGGTTAATCCACAGAGTGCAAAGAATTAACATTATGCTCTGGCTAATTTTTAAATGAACCAAAGTGTAACGATCGTTAACTATAAACTAATTCATACGATTGTGTTTAATATTCTTATTCTTATTGAGGGGAAATACTCCTATAGGCCTTACAACAATATTTAGTCATTAATTTTTTTGGTTTGTGTAATTTTAATTAACGATATTCAAAATTAATTTTATTATAAAATGCACTAATTGAGTAAAAACTGTTATTACCTGACTTTTTCACGACCCTTCTTGGTGTAAGAGTGTAATGTCAGTGCTGTTGAGACGAACATGTACAAGTTGTGGACTAGTATGACACCAGAGGGAATGTAGAAGTAGAGCAATGCTGCCTTCCATTCTGGAACAATCACATACATCTCACCTATCTGGTCCCCTCTTCACTCAAGCCATCTTGTTCAAACTTAATATACAGTATTAAATTAGTTTGGAATTACGTTCAATCACAAAACACACAAAACAAACTATTTATACCAGTCTAAAAAATATGTGTAAAACAAAACCCATTCTAGCCATGGTACCTCACCTGGATAAAATCTATCAAGATTAAAGATATAAATTGTTTAAATCCTTCAATCACCTCTATCTTGGTAAAGTTAACGTCAAATACCAACCTGCAAACCAGCACTTGGCTTTGCCAAAGTCAGGCTTGATGATGGAGTCAGGGATGCTTGGAGCTAAGTCTATAGCAACCGAGATAGTTACAATAACTAGTGGCATTCCCCAGGCATACAGGGAGTACAACAGGAACTTCTTATGATCCATTCCTTTTTTACCCCATCTGGCAGGTCTTCGTCCACTAAAAAATACTGTGTGTAAGAAATGTTACGACCCCTGACTGTGGTTAGATACACTATTACTATAGCATGTTATAATTGTGGTTAGTGCCTTTGCACAAAAGCGTATACATTAATTAAATCAATCATGTAAAGAAAGCACAAATTTATATTTTGAAAAGTTGAAACTGGTCTATTTTATTCAATATTATAGAGCTGGGTAGAATTAACAGTTTGAGGTGGTGATGTAGATATTGATATGATATTAGGTAAATTTATCATTATTTAGTTTTTTTGTTTTAGGCTAGCCAAGAGCAAGAAAGAAGAAAGTGCCCCATCTTGGCCTGTGTAAATAAAGAGTTTTTAATTCTGTCCCAGAACTCATTGTGCATTTTGAGGGATTTTTAAAATTATTAAAGAAACTTGTTCTTTACTGGCACTTTACAGAAATGTTTCATAATTTTCATAGTCCACATTATGTTACACTGAGTGAGATTTTGAAATAATTTTACATAGCAGCAGCTATAAACACTGGTAAACATTTCACAATTTTTCACCAGTACAGTACTAGTGAGCAAAATACTCATCAAAGAGAGCAAATCTCAGCGTTCCATTAGTACATTTCTTACTATATACCACAGGGGTTGGGGAGTGAGCTGTTCTAGTGGCTTGACACTTCGGTCCATGAGGTCCCGGGTTTAAATCCTGCCAAATCATCACTGGATTTATCCAAGTGATAATGCCGCAACCCGTAGGTCTAGCCTGAAGTATGTAATGTGAAAAACAATCCCAGGCTCATCATCATAGGAAAAAATTATATATACCCTTTATCCCAGGAAGCATAAAAAAGTAATTATTCAAAAGAACAAATTGCTTAGCAGTAGACAACTATTATAAGTCACCCTTGATGTCATTTTTTGTTATGGACTTGATTTGGGTAAGCATTGCTCAAACAAAATTTAGTTTCATTTGCTTCAGTTGTAAAACTATATTGTATTAGTGAAAATTGCAGACTAGTAGAACTGTGGTGTACTAAAACCATGTCTATGAGAGAAGTAATTACTTGTGATATTAGTAATAGTATTCTGTCAGGCAATGTACTGGAAAGGGCTCTGTACAGTTCTGTGTTATTACTCATTGTATAGTACTTTTTACAAACCTATGTGTAAGTTATATAGGTACTTAAATCCTCTACAGTGAGTTGTTGTCGATTAAAAAGTAGGAGAATGTATGAATTTTAATTTATTTTAAACTTTTTTGTGCATATTTTTTGGTACATGGAACTAAACATTGTGATTGTTCTCATTGCAGTCATGGATACTGTACTGTTTTGGACGATGAGTAGCAAATTATAAGGTTTTCATCTATGTATTATAAAATTGAGGAGGTGTCTGTCTTCGACTAAAATACTGAACTGATACAGCCAAAATTAAGCACAAAGATGGTCCCCATATCTAGGAATGTCATAGGCCTATTCACTTCCCTGAGTTCCTTCCGGGCTACGTCCCTTGGATGTCCGAAGATCCATTAGCCTCGAAGGACTCTTAAGGGTTAAGATGTTTTACTATTTCATACAATGGACTTGAGGAACCAAAATTTATTCAGCCTTCTACAGCCCCTCCCCGTTGCAAAGTATGGGTATAGCCAAGGCATAGCGGCTAGTTAATACATAAAATCAATGTAAATAATTATATTTTAACTTAACTTACCTGAATGACCACCAGATATCAAAAGACATGACGTTTAACCAGAAAGAGCCAGCCAAGAACGTGAACTGAATCATAAAAGCTGAAAATTAAAATGCATTGTCAATTCTGTTCAATATGAAATGTAAAATAAAAATTTTCTTTTTTTAGAATTCGAGTAATATTGTTTAATAATCTCATGTACAGCGCTAGAGATTGAAAGATTGACAGGTCCGCTTTTATAAATTAGCCTGGGCTCCTAGAAGTTTTGGGTTTGTTGAGGGCGGGCAAGTAACAGAAAATATTTATGACTCATCACTGCCACTACTTTCATTTTTCTACTTGTTTTTATTAATTCCATTTTTTCATTACTCAATGTCTGTTCCTTTTGTTCAATCGCGTGAGAAACATTTTATCAGTTGGCTAATGAATAAGGCTATTGTCATGTTTTTGGATCTGATCCTTTAATTTACACTGCTAAATCACATTCTGGCCACTCAGAGAAACCTATGAGATTATCGAACAACCAAGTGGCAGTTAATTCAAATGGAGGGTGAAAAAATATTTTTGAATATGAAAAATTATACAAAAAGTCCCTAAAATAAAATAGTAGCCTAGTTTGTGAATTAAAAACATTGAAGCATATTGTGTACCGAAAGTGATGTAACACTATTAATAAACGTTGATAATACCAGTAACTAGTGTGCTAAACATATAGGAAAATCCAATCATGTAAAGTATATTAAAAGTTAAACATGTTTTTTACATCTTAAACAATAAAAAAATCAATTGGATTCAATACGTTTTGAAAACTAATCCATTTTAATTTGTTAAACCAAAGATTACACATGTGCCATTGTTCGTTTATTCATATCAAAGGGGGGAGGGTCTTGCTTGGGCCCATAGCGTGTCACGTTGGCTTGAAGATGGAACATTCTCTGTCAGGGCTGATGTGCCACCGGTGAGGAGCTTGATGGAGGAGACCAACGACCATCGTAGAAGATAGAGTATATAAGTTAGTTATTTATGGGTTACACCTCATACCAGACATTTTGCTATTTGTGTTTTATTTAGGAAAAAAATGGTGTATAAACATTTCATTTTGCATTCAAAGGATATGGAAAACATAAAGTTAACAAATTCAACCAGTAAATAATCCTTGGGGCTCCAAACTGTTTTAAAGTTATTGAATAGCAGGGTTAATGTTTAATCTGTTGAGAGCACAATAAAATGAATGATAATACAGTTGGCTTTTGCTTTTGTAATACAGTAACAACTTTATATTTTGCACTATCGGCCCCCAAAACAGTTATCATAACAATTCCTCCTGGGTCTTTGTCAGAGGCATTTGAAATTATAGTCAAACACTATAAACAACTTGAATTACAACACTATTAGGTGAAAGTGGTTCAAATCCAAAGAATTGTTGATAATGTGCTGGTGGATTGAACCTGCCCCCCTCACACTGACATCACCACCATGGCAACACACACAATATTCTTTTCATATTCACACTTGTTTGAAATATTCCACGTTTGAATATTTACTTGCAATAATTTTATTTTATTGAGCGGAGCGAATCGAAGCTTTTTGGGATCGACTTTAATGCAAACTTTCTAACACATTAACTCAATAACGGCTGAACATACTTTAGTCAATCTTACCAAAGTTGTTTTGTCAAAGGTTTGGAAGGTTTAGACGAAACTAATTTCGATTTTTGATTACGCCTATATAGTTTAAAAGTAACTCTTTTAAATTTAACATTAGCCTTATGGGGTAACATGATAGTTACAGAATAACGACGTACATGTAAACAAAACAAAGAATCGTAGCATATGTTAAAACCAAGCCACGACCTAAACACAGTACAAAGAAAAAAAAAATCTGATGATGACCATTGATCAAATAATACAGAGAAAGTCTTAATGTAAACATTAAGTAGCATCTAAGTCGAAATTTGGAAACGACCACTGATCGAATAGGTACAGTATTTTACAGATTTTATTTACGTAGGTAAGTAAAGTTATAACAAATAACATTGATCTTATGTTATCTAAATAGGCTATTATGGACATGCTTTCTTATTATTTACTTTGAAATATTTTTGATATCATCGTGCTGTCAACACACTTGTATTGATTGTTGTGTTGGCAACGACTTGAGGTATATTATTGCCCAAGAAGGATGATTTGTTGTGTGTATTTTGTGTATTTTTTGCGTTTTTGTTTTACAGGAAAATACCTAATTCACAGGGTGTTTGGTCAAAAATTTGATGTCTTATTTTTTGTTATTGTTCAATTGTACTAAAAATTAGAGATACAAATATATAAGAAAAAATATTTATTTTGAATATTAAGCGAGATATGGAGCTTGAAAGTAGTAAATTTTTAATCTTTGGTACCAGTTCACAGGGAGAATGGGTAATGCGATTCTCACCAAAATTTGCATTCAGGTGTGGAAAAATAAGATAATAATCACTAGCTATTTAAAATAAAAAAATAAAAAATAAAATATTTTTTATTTTTTATAATTTTTTTAAAAAATAAAAAAAAATTTAAAATAGCTCTTTGTTTTTGGGAAAAATGTATCTGTATGTTGGAATTAAAAAAAATGTGATATGTTAACTCGTTTGGGCTGTGAATTCGTACCTTTGATGCCTTGCGCTGTCGGAGCACTACTCGTTGAGAGTGTGTACACTAACACCGGGGCTTTAGAATACAACGATAAACGTATTCTTTCAATGTTAAAGGATGTTAATAATTACGTGATGTTAAAGTATTCTAAAGCCCCGGTGTTAGTGTACAAACTCTCAACGAGTAGTGCTCCGACAGCGCAAGGCATCAAAGGTACGAATTCATAGCCCAAACGAGTTAACATATCACATTTTTTTTTATTCCAACATACAGATACATTTTTCCCAAAAACAAAGAGCTATTTTTAAATTTTTTTTAAATTTATTTTTTATTTTTTTAAAAATTTATAAAAAATAAAAAATAAATTTTTTTTTAATTTTTTTTAATTTTAAATAGCTAGTGATTATTATCTTATTTTTCCACACCTGAATGCAAATTTTGGTGAGAATCGCATTACCCATTCTCCCTGTGAACTGGTACCAAAGATTAAAAATTTACTACTTTCATGCTCCATATCTCGCTTAATATTCAAAATAAAACATTTTTTCTTATATATTTGTATCTCTAATTTTTAGTACAATTAAACAATAACAAAAAATCAGACATGAAAATTTGCGACCAAACACCCTTAAAGCGTCATATTAAGGATAATTTCAGAATGCATTCTCAAAAAATGTCTGATATTTGTAAAAAATGAAGACGAACAATAAACACCCGAAACGCACGAACAACTACTTCCTGCAATGTTTTGAGATAGTTGAATGTAGAACACTTGCTTGAAAACAGCTTTTCATAATTATGTTAAATGTACAAAATTTTTGAAAACAAACCTCATAAGAAATGGTGACAGCTATTCGTGTAATTCTCTCAAAGTAGGAAAGTCTTTAAAAAGTTGCATCTGCTAATCGTATGGATCCATGCAGGATTATTTCTGCCTGAATTGCAAAATCTGGCCAAGATTGAGAAAATTTCGATTGGGTTAGGTTCGAGGTCGGGTTCAACCAGAACTGTATAGGTTCACCAGATTACATTAGCAATCAAACACAGGAAAAATATCGATATACAAAGGAAATGTATGTAATGTCCACATCTTTACTTATAAAACTTGTTGTAGATGTTGATAGTTCTTAGCGAAACTGATAATTTAAATTGATGAAATATTTGTATTTTCTATTATATCCATAAAGGTTTGTATTTATTGCTTTATAAAAAAAGAAACATAATTGCTCCGCTCAACTGGCTTTCACTGATATGAAAGCAATCCTAGTATAAACTGTTTAGCCAACTCCATTTTCATGATCATTAGATCTTTGAGAGTCCAGACTGTAAATTCTGGTCAAACCAAGAAAATCAAAAACATGTAAGTAAAATTGTTTACTTACTCATGAATTTGAACAGAGGGTGTTTTTGGCCTCTGGGGACCTCAAAACAAAAAAGTAAATCGGTCCTGGGTCCAGGTCTTACTATGAGTACCACGGTAACAGCTTATTCCCTATAAGGGATAGAAGACTTTAGAATTTAATAACATCTTTAAAAATTCAATTATCTAAGATGGGGACGCCACTATGTGCGTATTTTAACCCAAATATGAGTGAAGGATGAGTGGCGCGATTTAGTGACTAAGGCCGACATGTTCCTTAATATTTATGTTTAAGAAATTAAAGTAGCATTGAGTCAATATTTTCTACCCACTGCCTGCGATCGTTTTGAGGTTTATACGTTAGGCCTTTGTCATTTTCACAATGGATAAATTTTGTAGTGTTAGTCAAATGTTTCATTTGATTTCTCACATTAGAGTGCCAATGTCAGTTTTCTCAGTTTTGGAAAACATTTTAAGGTGTGGTGTATTTATTCTTGGGGGTTATACTTTTCCTAGTATATTATGTGGATTTCCAACATGCGAGTTGTAAAATCAATCTTTAAGTCAGTTTTCATTAAGTTGTTAAGAGTACCTACTTAAAGCCTAGCCGTGCTAACTCCTAAACAAATACCGTACAATACTACAAATAAAATATCTAATCTCATAGTGCCCTGGTTATTTAAAATACAATCACTTCGGTATTTTAAAAATATTTTGGAATGGTCAATAAATCTTTAGCGGCTGTTTGAAATTGACATTGCTCTTATGCGGGCAAATCCATGACACCCGTTAGCCTCCAAGGACCCTTGGAAAACAATTAAAAACTACAAAGACAATTTCTGATCTGATAGCGTCCTAGATTTTCAAATTACAATCACTTTAGTATTTAAAAAAAATATTTTGGGATGATAAATAATTCTGTTTAAAATTAAACTGTTTAAAATTAAACTGTTTAAAATTAAACTGTTTAAAATTAAACCAAGATGACCGCTACATCAAAATTCTTAAGTTATATTAACAACAATATTTTGAACAATAGTCAAGTCAAACCAAGCACAAAATGTAAAAAAAAACTTACCTATAAACACACACCAGCAGTCTTCTAAAACACCCCCCTTGAGGTAAGCTATTGTAAGGCCGATGTAGGTCAACAGCAAACATGTACATTGACACACCAAGCACTTGCCATGGAGGTTCCGCAGGGCCGGCAGTATAGAGTACACTACGATAGTGATCAATAGACAGGGCATAGAGATAATCATTCCCAGGGGATACAAAAACTGCTGTGCTCTCGTCACCTCATCCCCTGCAGAATCAGGGAGACATACAAACGTCCGGATCTCGTCACTTCCATTCATAGACTCCAGGCAGTAGTTGGATACCTCCAGGTGATCACTGTCCATGAAGTTGATTCTACCGTCGACCAGCAGATAGTGTTGGTCTCTCTCGTCCTCCGGATCCAATATGTATTTGCCGGGACTACACACGTCTCCGTAGAGCAGGCGGAAGTGGTCTCGGTCGACATCCACTCGTTTTCCAGGCGCTTCGTGTACAGGGAGAGAAAAATTTTCGAACGGGGAGGGCTCCGGATTGTGCACACATTTAGCGCGACTCCCGGGGACTCGGACATAATACTCGTCTTTATCACAACACTTCCTGACACAAGGGTGTAACATACACAAACAGCCACGATGAGTACCGTTCAGGGTAAAGTGGTGACCCGAGGGGTAGAGATCGCCGTCGTTCTCTATTGAGCCGTTCTCGTGGAAGATCGGGTTGGAGAGAGCTACACTGTGATTCTCGTGGCAAGGAGTATCCAGCGGTCGGTTGGCTCTTATGTGAAACACCAAAGGTACACCAACGACGGCGATCAGGAAAAGGAAACAACAAACTGCGATGGAGACTCGACCCATTCTCTGGCAACAAACTCCGCTCCGTCCTGTGTTGCCTGGCACACTGCACTGAAGTAAGTACTGTAGGCTACTGTACTGTGGTGTGGTAAGTAGGAGCCGGAGAACTGAGAAGTGACATTTTATCACCACTCAATGACGCATGCGTAAACGAAGCCCGTATACTCGCGGCCGCTTGGCGCTCTATTAAACCGCAATCTAACAAACATCCGACGTGCTGATGTTAACTAATAAGACCAAGATTAGTCAAAACATCACTATCAGTTAGTTCGTTATTTAAGCTTCAGCTACATGTTTCAGTTATCTATTTTTAACTCAGCAGCCAGGTTGTTATACATCTAAGAATGCATGTGAATCGCATTAAATTATCAACTCTCCGAATACAAACGAATTACATCGAGGACACCTCCTTCATCCGATTCCTTTTCATTGGACTCAATAATTAAAATGATCCATTTTAAGACAGTACAACTCTTCCCCCATAAAATAGAATTAACTTTTAGACGCTGTAAAGTAAGTTACCGTATAATTTTGTTGCCTATTGTAGCGCATGTGGACTCACATAGATTAAACATACTCCCTTTTTAGCGAATTTCCCTATAGGGAAGTAGCTATTACCGTAGGGGGCACGGTAAGACCTAGACCCGGGACCGATTTACATTTTCATTTTGATGTCCCCAGAGGCCAAAAACACCATTCGTTCAAATTTATATATATATATATATTATATATATATATATATATATATATATATACGTCCGTGAACGCGATAACTTGAGTAATTTTTGTCCGATTTTGATGAAATTTGGTTTAAAGGTGTAAAGCGGGATAAACTTAAATGAGTTCGCGAACCAGCACGATAAGACCATGGGAACGGGGCTTTACGGGGGGTTTTATGGGGTAAAAATTGGTTTTTCTCACTTTTGACCGTCAAAACACAAAATTTCCCAATTTCTCTTTAGACCTTTTTAAAGAGCTTAAAAAACAAATAATTTAGTATATAAAAGTATTTTTGTTCGATTATTAGTAACGGAGAAAACAAAAAAAAATTTTAAATTTAAAATTCCCATGTTATTCTTATGGAGAATATTGTCAAATGTTGTAGTTTGCTTGTTTATGGATATATTTTTATCAAACTTGGCAAATGTATTTATTTTGTACTAAGCTATCAATATTTTACTCAAAAACACACTTTATTAGTTTCCTTGTAGCAGCAAACCTAGGTACTCGTTAAACCTAATGTTATTAAAATATATTTAACTGAAAATCAATTCAGACAAATAGAAATTCGCTTAGTCGGCAGGTTTGCTGCGGCGGGGGTATTTAGTTAGTCTATTATACTACTAACCTACTTGTAAAAAAACCTACTTTTTGACCAAAGTATTTTTATAAAAATAAAAAATAAAATAGTTTTATAGAATACTAGCTGCTTTACGGTGCTTTGAATCGAGGATGTGGCGGAAGGGGTAATTTGTCTATACGTTAAGAAAAAGTTACAAATCCACATCCACAATTAATTGGTTTATAATAACACGATTGAATCACCCAATTAAAAACAAATCTTTAATTTAGGTAAATGGTTATCAAACAAGGAAAACAAATTTGACAATTTAAACAGTAGTAATACGGCAGCCGCTGCAAACCTTTTACACTAATCGAATTTCCAATTACCTTGCTGAATTTTCACTAAAATATCCCCTTAATATTGTCAGACTCATTTCCTGTTTAAATTACATAATTTGTAATGAGTACTTAGGTTTGCTGCCACAGGGGAGGTAATAAGGTGTGTTTTATTGACATGTTGATAGCTTAGTATGCATACTGTGAAATAAACAAATTTCCAAATACTATTAAAATCTATCCATAAACAAGCAAACTACAACAGTTTATTTATTCTCTGTAAAAATAACATAAGAGGTTATCATTTTCACTTTTTTATTTTTTCTGTACCGGTAACCCTTAGGCATACAACAATGATTCAATATGATAGATTATTTGTTTTTTATGATTAAGAAATATTTTGGAAAGAAATTGCAATTGTTTTAGGGATCGAAACCCCGTAAACCTCTCCATTACAACCACGTTCCCATTGTCCGATATTGCTGGTTGTGATAAACGTTCTGATCAACGTATGTTAACTCGTTTGTACCGAATTTCACCAAAGTTAGATCATTATTAGTCGCGTTATCGTGCTAACGTTAAAAAGTAAATTGTCTCGGGCCTAGGTCTTACCATGAGACCTACGGTACAAGCTTATTATAAGGCAAATTCACTGAAACGAAAAATATGGCTCATCCCCACATGAGTTCCAATATAAAAACTGGTTCATGCCTCCTGGTTTAACTCTTGCTATATTGCCTAATTTTCCGGAAAATTTCGGACGATCCCAGTAGTTTTCACGTGATGGAGTACCAGACTAACTCAGAAACATCCATAATTTCCCATTTATAATATCCGCATTTTGTAGGATATAAATGAACACGTACGTTTAGTTGTTGGTGTTGGACAGTGGACAGTAGATAACAGCACAGTCGGTGACCTTGATCTTGGAAGTGTTGGCATGGAGGGTTTATCTATCCACATGCTACATACGCAGAGGACCACATGGCCACAGTGTTCCACGAATGTTTTGCTTGGCGCAAGCGCAAATATGCCTGACGTCAAACAAACTGACTTGCTAATTCCACCAACACAATGGCAAATATTCTATAAACGTCGAATCAGTTGACTACTCATAAATTTATTGATTTCATCTGGCACTACTTTTACGAGTATTTAACCATTTATGAGTCATTAAGTATAAAAGCTTATTGCTAATAAAACAGTGTAAGTTTATTACAATGCTAAATTATACACGTGCTTTGTATCGCAGGTGAGAAGAATGTGGGGGTTTAAAACTACTGCTAAACTGCCTACCCACTCATTTTGATTGAACAATTTTCTTTAGCCTAATTCAACCAGATGTGCGATAGACTAAAGTATATTATGAACTTAAAAGAAACATTCAGTGTGTCTATCTAAGTATGTGGTTTCTCTTTTTGTTGCCATTGCCAAGGATACCAGTCAAAGTACAGTAGGCCTACATTTGAAAGTCATATATAAAAATTGTTAAATCCGGGGCCGTTAAACATTTAAGTGGCATTATTATCGGATTATGAGTTAAATCGCCGTAATAAGATTTGTAGGCTAGACTTATGGAAACCACCGACTACTTGAGCCAAAGAGTCATTGCACCAGGGTATAGGCTGGGGTGAAATGTGTTTGAGCAAAAATTCTACAAACTCTGAGATAACTGTAGCAAAAATATTATTCTTTTAGCATTAAAAAACTTTTCATTAATATTACATATTTGAACATTACATCTTCAATTTGATTTGTAGGTAGCAAATTTGCTATAGCCATAGCCTCCAAAAAACAATGTAGCATTTTTAGGTTGTGTATAGCAAAATGCTAAAAATGCTACCACAGCTTAAACCCTGCTTTCCACCCTGAAGTCAAAACTGAGACATCTTGTTTTAACAGTTTTGATATGCTGTTCCCCTTTGACTATAATAGAATAATAATGTAATGACGTAAAACCACACAAATTCCAAAATTTGTGGACATTAAGTTTGGGTTTGGGGGGTTGTCGAATTATATATCCAGAATATTAAAATTGGTAATGGGGTTTTAATAAATGAATACATAGCATAAGAGAATAGTTTTTACATAGAAATGCATGTGCATTTTTACATGTTGAGTAAACGTTCTTTTAATAAATACTGAAAATATTCTACAATTAAAGCTAAATGTTCTGAAAAAGTTACTCGAAAAGTCGAACGGACTAACCCAAAGACATGCCCGGGCCTAATACAAACTTTGCAGTATCATCATGCAAGAACTGCTAAACATAAGTAGTCAAACTTATCAAGGATACTTCGACACTCGCATTGTAGTACAGGAAATATAGTTATAGATGATTACACACAAAAATCTGTTAGTTGCATTAAATATCTGTTTATCATTCACAAGAGTGTAAACTTTTAAATCAAGTAGCCCTTGGAAAAGCGGCCGGTGGGGCAAATATCCTTCAATATACAGCAAATATACACACTCCAAGCGTATTTTTGATGTACCATAATATTTCTATATTTTTTTATAAATGGCGACCTTTCCCCATTTTCCGGCGAGTATAGTTTGCCATTCGAGCAGTCAGGAAAATGGTGCCCGGCGCTATACTCGCCATTCGACCGCAAAGGGTTAAACAATGGCCACAAATTTGATCTTATCACTTCAATAATATGATAAATTACTTTTAAAAATCCTATTGATCGACCAAGAATGATTTACATGGTATTCGATACAAGGAATGAAGTTTCATCGCCACGTCAGCTGATTGCGTGTTATTATTTTCTAACACAAACTGTGTCTATTTTCATATCAGTCTCATCAGCATTTTGTTTCAGATGTCAGAGGTCGTCCGGTCTTGGCTTTCTCACACAATCAGTTCCTCCAACTTCCTATTATACCATTCATAAATTTGACTGTGCCGAGGTGGTTTTTTTATTAAATGTTTGTTTAAGCTTCGGTAAAAGTCTTGATAAAAATATAAACATTTTACATTTTCACATGACATTATAACAGGTGATCAGCATATATGATTATTAAAATACCCAATAGAATGCTAACTATTCTATTAACCTAGGCAAGGCAATACTAAACATTCTTGGGCAATTCAAGTTATAACAATATAAAATCTGAATTTTTTTAAACAAGTTTTATATATATATATCTAATAATATTATAAATGTGAAAGTTTGTGTTTGTTTGTATGTTTGTTTGTTTGAAGTTCAATCACGCATTAACTACCGGACGGATTGGGCTGAAATTTGGCATGATGATAGCTCACATTATAGATTAACATATAGCACAGAAAACGTACTACCATAGGCATATTCTTATCTCTTAATCTCTTATCTCTATCTTATTAATTGTTTTAAGCTCCGCCCCTTTGGCTCTGTATATTATGAGTATTGATATTTAAAGGGAGTTAAAGAATTCAGTCAGCTGTTTCAACTAAAAAAGTTGGTTCTATTATATGCAAAAGCATTAAAAAGTTATAAGATTTACCCAAAGGGTACAGCA